ACCGGCAGGTGAGTCCACTGACTGCAGGACAGTGTAAAAGCATCCCAAAAAGCTTCCCATTCAACTTATTTCTCTGTTCAAAAATGTCATATTTAATTAAATTTATCATGAAAACAAAGGTTATTTCTTACTCTTCGCCAATCTATGCCATTTGAGGGCTCTGATCCGTTTATCAGGCCCCATATACATGAAAGTGTAAAAGAAAAGAAAAAAAAAAGTCTAGATTTCAAATATCGGTCAATTTTCTCATAAAAACTTATTAAAAAAAAAAAAAAACCCACAAAACTGGCACCGAATTAAAGCTTGAAAAACAAAGTTTTGAGGAAATTTGTAGCAAAATCTGTAGCAAAATTTGTAGCAAAATCCCACAATCAAATTCAGAAACACGCTGTGGAAATGAAAGCCACATCCCCACTCATGACGTCAGAGAAGATCCCAATAGCCATAACTCAGAAATGGTTAAACAATTACATTTTTGGGGTCTTTATTTAATAACTAAATAATGTATTAAATGTAACCTGGTCCAATGTCCTATATTGGACTAAAACATATTGGTTATAAGCCAGCATCTGCCATAAATTCTCCACATCGGCGTGGTAAGTGGGAACAGACAAATCCATTTCAGCAGGAAGAATTAAGAATAACAGGGCCACTGCATGTCAGCACTGTGCTGATTTCAGCTGGTCGGCAGACAAAAACCAGACTGCAGTTTACAGACACCCCCAGACTGTCCACTGCCCTCACATGCAATACCCGTGATTGATTATTTTATATTTCCGTAGATTTCCAGAACAATAAGGCTCTCCTGCTGCATTTGCGTGACCTCTGACTTTAAGCCCCTGAGTTTCGAACTCTCCCATCTATCAAATGAATGAAGGAAAATGCCTAGAGCTGATGACCTGATGATACAACAGAGGCATTTTATTCACCCCTCTGGGGAAATTGGATAGTTTTTTGCAAACCCCAATGACACAGGCACACATACGAATACAGGTAGGGGTGTGTGATTTGATGACATTATGCAAACAATTAAAATATCTCCACGATCTGCCTTTACGGAGAGATCGTCAGTATTGCGCTACAGTGCAGATAGTTGCAGTTCTATAGCATCTTGTTTTGTCAGCCAAATCTGTTTCGACAGACCAATAAACTGGCGATAGCAAACAGTAGGTAGTGCCTTAGATTTCCTCCTCTCTCCTTTCAGGCTCTCGTCCCAATGTGCAATGCACAACACAGTCCCTATTGGGCAACATCAACGGCATGGAGGAGTTGGTCCCTCAAAAGAGTTTGACATCGGTAACATAAAACATGCCTAGATTTTCGAAAACCAGTACGGTGCAAACAACAATTATTTGCAAAATTTGCAAAGATTAGGTTCACATGTCAGATGGCAGCATGATGAACCTTTTCAAACACCTCAAAAGTAACACCCCAAACAGGATGCTGAGTGTCCTTCTGTTAGGTTCTCTTACCTTATAAGGCTGTATTTTTTAAAAATAGGGGAATTAGTTTGACTATCGTTCAGTAACTTGTAAAACAGAAAACCCACATGAAAGGCAAAGTCATAAAATCGTGGATTGTGATCGTACCTAAAAAAATTGTGATGTGATATTTTTGCCATGTCGCCCACCATGCTCTCATAGAGGTGAGAGCAGAGGGGCAGACAGCCGCCCTGCAGCAATGGGGGACAAGGGGGCAGATTTATGATTATTAAGCAGGAGGATCTGAAGCCAAAGCCTTGCAGAAACAGGCACTGCCCCCTATCCAGCTAAGGCACAAATCACCCCACAGGGGAAAATAATCCTTTGTTTAATCTTCTTGGTTTCTGCCCTCAGTTGATGCCCATGGAGGTGAAGGAGTTAGTTCAGCACAACACAAGGGCACAACACAGGGGCCTGTACCACAAGCATCTGGATGGGATCCCTTCCGCCAGGCACAGGAAAGCAGCCTTCCCAGCACCGAAAACACCGGATCCAACCCCAGAGGCTGGGATCAAAGCTTCCTTTTATAAGCGATCCTGGCTGGACCAGCAAAGCATCCCCCGCCCCCCCCAAAAAAAAAAAACAGCAAACCAGGAACTGAGCAACGGGGCAAAAAACACCGATCTCTTCAGGTGAAAACAAGGAGACACATGGGAACATTCCGGAACTCAAAGTGCAGGCCACTCTGGGATCACATGGGCTTCCTCATTCCTGTCGCCGGGGCGACGCGGCGCACTGAAGGCCGTCGCCAAATGGGCTGTCCGTGTGGCCGCATGCTTCAGGTTTCCCTGCCCCCTAATCAGAGCCCGGCCCGCCAAACACCTCACAGATGGAAGACAGACAAATACGACCCAGGCGTTCAGAGAGGAAGTCTGCCAATATGAATTATGAGGGGGGGGAAATGGAAAGAGGGAAAAGAGAAAAAGAGAGGGAGCTAGAGAGAGACCAATAGATATGAGCACAGGAGAAGGAGAGAAATTTAAAAAACAACTTCACACCTTATTCATAACGTTGTTTTTGGCAGAATGATGACAGTTACATTCACAGTATGAAACTGCTACCACAAAACATGTCAGATCTACTGCACAGCCAGAAAACACCAGGTCAATATCGCCGGCTGAGATTACACCATGTCAAAACTCAAAGTTAGCAGCACCAGAACTAAAGACACAGCTAATCGAATGACAGAGATCTTTATATGGCCTGAGACACATTTTTAATCCACTATTAAATCTTGGAGGCAGATTGATCTTCTGTTTTCCAGAGAGAGTAACATCAACAATGTAACATCACTCCACTAATCAGCCCCGGAAAACTGGGTAGGTTTCACCTCCAGCAGATGGGCTTACAGACGGATACTGGGCTGGCGGTGATAGAAGAATCACTGCCGCCACTGGACCCTCCGGAATGTTCCTGGAGTCGGCTATGCTGAGGCGTGGTGACACAAAACGGTGGGACCGAGGTTTCAGGCGAAACCCAAGGGACAAAGTG